AAGCTCTGTCAAACCAGTAGACACAAGTCATGTCATAGGGAGGACCCAGTCTGATTTCAAAGCAGGGGCACATGCCCCGTGCAGAGAGTTTCCCAGCCACAGGGTATCATCCTGTGTTGTCCTCTGCTCCTTGGTCACCCCTCCAGGCCAAGTGGTGCGTGAGGCCCTGAGACAAGGGAAGTGGAGGTGCAGCAGTGAAGCGGAATCCTACCATGTGGGTCCATCTGCAGGGTCACTTGTGGTTGGTAAGATATGCCTGGCCTCAGCTGGCAAGGCAAATGCATATAAGATATTTCATTTAGACACTAAGCATGATTTGACCTTTGGAGCTAATTTGCTGGAGAAGTAGTGGGTTGATTCTGTTGAGAGCTTGCTTCTTGATCTGTCTAGCAGGGAAGACACTTGTTAGTCAAGAAGAAGATTGATGGTTATTATCAGACTGCTATCTTCTGACCTGAAAGCCCTGGCTCTGATTAGGGGGTCTAGGAAGGATGCTTCCCAAGCATGCCAACTTCCAGCAGGACAAAGAGTTGAAGGACTGGTGTGTAGTGACACTGTCTTTTCCCTCTGTACTTGCTGTCATGCACATTGAACAGTTAGAGAACCTGAAACCCAGTGGGTTTGTTAGTTTAACCTCATTCAAGGACCATAATTCTTCTTCCCAATCTGAATCCTGCTTTCGGGTAAGGACAAAGGCGCTTGTCTCCAAGGGTGCAGACCTGACCTTTTCATTCACCATTACTCAGATGAACAGCAAAATACATTGCAAAACCCTTAATCTTCCTCGGATCCCTTGCAGGAGGGCAGGAGGTGAATGCAGCAGTGTGCAGAGAGCATCGATGTGTTAAACCTCATTGCTCAGCTAAGGTGATGTGTTAGGTTTCTGTCAGTCAGCTCAAGTAGATGTAAGGTGAATGAACTTTGGGGTTTATTTACACTATGAAGTGCCCAGTGTTCTCTTTACACCAAGCTGGGTGCGGAAGGGGACAGGCTACGATTGAATGTGGATGTGAATTAAGTACTCATTTTCTTCACTGCATTTACAGACAGGAAAATCCCCTGGAACATGGAAATAAGGAGAAAGGAACAGAATTTACATTTAGAATGAAATAGATGAGTTTCTCCTAACCGATGCTTAATGGCCGTGTGCCCTGGAGGATTAACACTACCCCAAGCAGTATGGCCAGTCATGTGGCTGGACTCTGGTCCTAACGTGCCAACAAGCAGTGCAGAAATGCCAGTTAAAGAGATTAGACTAGCAACCCCCTTCTTTGCAATAGCAGGATAATGGCTTCATCCGGGTTCCTCAGGCTTTCTCCTTCCAGAGTCGAGCTCTGTCAGGTTCCTCTTGCATTTGAGATCTCTTCAGAACCAAGAAAGCCACAGGGGAGGTCTCTCCGGTGGAGACCTTCTACTGAAGCACTCTTTGGCTTCTGCTGACCGCTGCTTGCAAGCAGTTGGCATGTATAGTTCCATGTCACACATCACTCTGCATCCAGGAATAGTTTAAAGCCCATTCAGCCTCATCCACTGCCTCCTGCAGATGCTCTGTTCAGATGATGCTCAACCAGTGATGCCCAGGAAAGATGCTAAAAGAACCACATTTACCATAAAAAAATACAGTTTTCAGAAGGGTGTCTTTGTGAGCTTGCGTTGATAGAACCATAGAATGGTTTAGGTTGGAAGAGACCTTAAAGCTCATCCAGCTCCAACCCCTGCCACGGGCCGGGACCCCTTCCACTAGAGCAGCTTGCTCCAAGCCCCTGTGTCCAACCTGGCCTTGAACACTTCCAGATGGCCATTTTGCTCTACCAGGACACTAAAGAATAAGCAGGCATCTGACCTCCCTGGTGCTCAAACAAGCCCAGTCCTCCTGGCTGATCCCTGTGGGAAGAACAAGGCAGGCAGTCTGCTGCTGCCCTTCCCTTTTGGGGCCTTCCATGCTGAGCAAGCTGTGGGAAAAGCCTGCTGCCTATTATGTACATCTCTTGCTGCAGCATCCCGAAGGGGCTTACAAAACATTGAAGGAGAGCAAGTGTGGTGGCTTGGGCTGAAGGCTAGACTTTCAGGAAATAGATAACTGAAACCGCACAACAGGCTCTGGGTACCAAAGTCCTCTTTAAAAGCAGAGTGTGTTTGGTATCTAAATACTCTTCCAAACCTGGCACAACACTTAATCAACGTCACCACAGGCTGGGAGGAGCAGGAATCACAGAATGGTTTGTGTTGGAAGGGACCTTAAAGATCATCCAGTTCCAAACCCCCTGCTGGGGGAGGATGTCCACATACAGGGTAGTTTTTATGCTGGGAGCCACAGGACAGTGCTTTGCTTCAGCAGCAGAAGGATGAATGCCTGAAGGAGCAGTTCTGAGACCTGAACCTGTGGCTCTAGTCCAGCCTGTGGGAAGAGATCTCCTATGCCGCTTGGATACCCAGTGGGGCAAACTCATCTGGGCCATTTGGCTGATTAGAATCATAGAATCATAGAACAGTTAGGGTTGGAAAGGACCTTGAGATCATCCAGTTCCAAGCCTCCTGCCATGGGCAGGGACACCTCACACTAAACCATGGCACCCAAGGTTCAGTCCAACCTGGCCTTGAACACTGCCAGGGATGGAGCATTCACAACCTCCCTGGGCAACCATTCCAGTGCCTCAGCTCCCTCACAGTAAAGAACTTCTTCCTTATATCCAACCTAAACTTCCCCTGTTTCAGTTTTAACCTGTTACCTCTTGTCCTATCATTACAGTCCCTATTAACAGGCACATAATGACTGGAATACTAGGAGCTCCTCTCTTGGGTGAGATCTCTGTTTTCAGAGAGGGAAGCTGAGGCAAGGAACTGTAAGGTGACTTATCCTAGTGGATGTCCGTCAACCAAGGAACTGAAATTGCTTCCCAATCCAGTGTTCAATGCTGCCCTTACAGTCATCATGTTACAGAATTGGGAAGGACCTCTGGCGAACCTCACCCGTTGCCTCCTTTAGGTCAAGCCAAGCTTTCACTGGCTGTTCCCAGTGAAGGAGACTCCTCAGCATCCTTGGCAGTCTGTCTCAGCACCACAACTTGGCAGGGTTAGAAAGATATTTTCAAGCCATATAAATTAAGAGGGATAACTTAATGTGCTCCAGAGGAGATTCACAAATTGAGAATTAGGAGAATTCCTCACAGCCTTTCAGACAGTGAAGTGGATGCATGATTTTCCACCAGTTGTCTGAGAGCAAAATGAATCCATTCAATACGGTTTGTGGCCAATATCTGTCTAGCAAGTATTTCCTAGTGACCAGTGATGCTTTGGCTGCTCTTAGGACACTAGTTCCTTTTCTGGGCAATGCAGAGGGATCATATGGATCATTCAGCATCTGGATGTTTTCATTAAGGTGGTGAAGGCGCTTAGATGGCAAACTGCTGCAGCTGCCAGTGGGGTAGGTATCTGCCTGCAGATGTGTGGTTGGCAAAATGTAGAGGTGGTGCAGGCAGCGTGGCAAGGAAAAGGGGAATGATTGGAAATGCTGTTGAGTCCCTGCAGCAGATAACAGAGATAAATCCTGCTTTTCTAGAAGCTAGGATGTGGTTCCACTGCAGATGAGAAGCTACAGAAAGCTCAGCCAGCAGGATCAGCACCAAAGACTAAGTCCTACATTACTGAATGGGATGAGTGCAGTTGCTGCTGGTGGGGAAGAAAGATCACTCTCCTTGCCATCAGTAAACTGTGCTGGGACACTGGCACAGGGCGTTATCAATATTCTCATTATTCTATTATCATTATTATAAGTCATAGAATCATAGAATGGTTTGTGTTGGAAAGGACCTTAAGTTCATCCTGTTCCAGCCCCCTGCCATGGGCAGCAATGCCTCAAGCTCTGTCCAACTTGGCCTTAAACACTGCCAGCGGTGGTGCATTTACCACTTCTTTGGGCAACTCATTCCAGCCCCTCACCACCCTCACAGTAAAGAGCTTCTTCCTTGTATGTCCCATATTGTGTCTCTTTGAGACATTTTACCTGGAGAAAGTTGAGGGGAGTGGAAAGACTTTGCTATTCCCTTCTGTCCCTGCAAGAAATGTTCTTCTTTTAGTGGGAAAAGAACAAAACCAAGAAGTATGGCTAAAACCTGCAGCACAATATTTAGGTTTGTATGATGAGTCTGGACCACTTTGTCACTGTGAAGGGGAATGTCTCATGTCCTGCAAGATCATCCTTCACCAGCCTTCGCATCCCCAGCATCTCACAGGGATTGTGCCTCTCAGACAGAGTGCCTTTTTGCTGCTTCCTAAAGCATTTACCATAACAGAACCCACATCATAAATACAACAATTCCCAATTGTAGCAAGGATGACTTGGAGATTAAAAGCTGCAAAACTTCAATCCTTTGAAAGCATTTTCCGTTCATGCGCACCAAACCCATTTGATGCAGGGAGCACCATGAAGTGGAACAAACCCTGGAGCAGCGTGGTACTTTCCCATGTAAATCCCACACAGGTATGATTTGCACAGCAGGCGGGAGCAGAGTGTGGGTATGCTCGTTCCAATCCAGGTATTAGTTGCAATCTGTTTGGGCTTGGTATTTCCTTTCCTCTCCTGAGAGCAGTTTTGACATCAAGATGCTAATCCACCCACTCTTGTGAGCTGTAAGGACAGGGCTCCCCTTCTCCATGCACTTTAATTGGTACCACGGGACCCGATGACACATGGGATAAATCAGTATCAGTCTGTTTGTCAGGTTAATCCTTGGATAACTTTCTAGGACTCAGTTTACAAAATATGACTTGCATAAGCAGCTCCAGACCCAGCCTCACCACGGTGCAGGAATTAATCTGGATGTATTAGAGGATTGTCTCTCACTGTCTGGAATTAGCATTACGAAAGCATTGGGAGTGTAAGTGCTCCCTCTTCCACACTTAGGGGCTGCATCTGTCCCTTTAGGGTTGGGGCAGAGCCTGAGCCTTGGGTCTATGAATTAGGATTTCAGCTCATTAACTGCTGATTTCTTTTGGTTCAGGTCCATTCCTGGTGATTGCTGATGTGTTTGGACAGGAACCATGGTCATTCTACGACAGGTAAGCGAAGCATGGCTCTCTTCAGGTAGGACTAATGAAAGTCTTTTATTTCTGGGTGGGAAGGGTCACGTCAGGCTGTTTTGATCCTCTTCTATTTCCCTAAAAGGACCGTTACAAGATGCAGAGATATTCATTAGCTTTAATCCTTGATTGGCTTAGAGGAAATAATTGCTCTGTGTGTGGAGTCCAGCTTAACCTCATGCAATGTTCCACTTCTGTCCTCTCATCTGGGGTTAGCCTTGGGTGTGCAGAAGAATAACACAGCTTACTGCCTGCCTCGAAGGATGGTGTAGTACAGGGGTGATATTCAGTTTCCAGGAACAGGGCTGCTTGTGCTGGGTAAAAATGGAATCATGTTGTGCATTTAAGAAGCAATTGAATAGATAAATTGAATGTAAAGTCTTATGTAGATTCTGACATAATTTAGGGCTTTGGATCGTAGTGTCTTCCCTGTCTCTAGGCATAACATGTCTCACTTAAGCTCAGCTTCTGGGTTGTCTCATTGCTATGAGTCAATGGGGAGGACTGACAGTGCTGCCTCAAGCCTTGGGTTGGGGCTGCCGATTGAGACTCGGATATGTCAACGCAGCCAAACATTGAGGTGATGGAGCAAATCTGCCCAACATGTTTTGATTGAACTCTGTGTCTGTCTTGGCAAAGGTGCTTTTGGCTGCAACGGGGCTGAAAACACTGGACCACTCAAGTGGGACCAGTTTATACCAGTGACAAGGAGAGCTGAGTATAGCTTTGAGCATGGATGTAATGCCCAAGATCTCATGGAGCAATGAGATGCTCTTTACTCTGTTGCCCTATCAGGAGCTGTGGCCCAGTAAAAACAGGCTGTTCTTTGGGAGGGGTGATTAGGACTTGGTTCTCCTTCCAGAAGGCTCAGAGGTGTTTGTTGGCTTCATGTCACGAACCCTGATGTAGTTTGCAATGCCAAGGAAAATGGGCGTGCAAATTAAAACAAAGCTCATATATGAGTTGGAAAGCTCACAACGACAGTTGTGGCTCTAAGAAACACCCTATAATAACTATGGTATCACTGCAGGCTATCTGTAATACCTCTCTGTCGGTGGTTACCCCTCTGTGGTTCAGGTTCACGTTCATAGTGTTCTGTGTATTGGTCGGAATTCACCCTTTGCAGACCTTGAATCTAACATACCATGCTCCTATTTATCCAAAATCAAAGCGTCTTGTCTAGGAAAGGAGGATTCTGAAGTGATTTCCTTCCTATCTGTCAGAGGGTAGGATCCATCTCCTTTCTGGGCATGTTTCTCCCTCCTCTATCTAAGCCCTAAGCACCTAGGGTGGGTGCTTAACAGATAGATGTGAATGGAGAACTGTGGTGAAGGGACATCAATCTTTTCTTCCATCTCTTCTGTTATTGTTAAAATAACTTACAGTAAAGGGGACAAGGTGATGGCTCCACTAACATCCTCAAAGGACTTTGTGTCATCCATCTAGATGCTAATTTGCCAGTGCCAGGATCTAGTCTGGGATTTGGGTCCCTAAAACCTCAGGATGTGGTTGGTTTGGTGTGAAAATGGGGCTGAGCTCTTGGCCTTTTACCTCGCATGTCTGTAGTGTTACAGCAGTAAAGCTGGAGCAGAGCAAGACTGATGCTGCCCCTGTGTTAGCACATGAGGGTTATTTCTAGAGTGGAAGGTAAAACACAGTGTTATTTCTGTACGGAAAGCTGGATGCTGGAGAATAAACCTGGAGCCATTTGTGATTGATGCGCTTGCATCACCGGAGTGTTCACAGCCCATCACCTCTAGGCAGGTATTACAAGAACCCTTAACAGCAAAGCCTTAACATTCAGTGTGTGTGTTCAGCCTCCTATAGGCTTTTTTAGAGATGATACTCAGTTATTTTCTATATATAGAATCATAGAATCTTTTGGGTTGGAAAGGACCTTAAAATCATCCTGCTCCAACCCCAAATCAGGGAAATAGGTTTGTGTAGAACTTGTTGCTTACTGCAAACGTCTCTCTGCATCATGGATAAGGTGAGCAAGGACCCCTCCATAATGAAATGCCAGTTATTGGCAAATACAGGCTCTTCCTGAGGTCACTTTATACCAGTTTACCCCATGTAAAGGTCCAAATCGAGTCACACTTCAACCACTTTGCTCTCTGAAGTCCAAAGAGCTGATGTTTATGGTGGTGCCTAATTGCAAGTAACAGGAGTAGATGTATTATGTCTCACTTTTTCAGCTATAAATCCAGGAATCCTGAAGGTGATCCTTGGCATTGCATCCCTTTCCCTCTCCCATCAAAACAGCTCATCCTGGGATGTCCCTCAGGGGCTGGCTCTGGGTACCTGAGCCCAGTAGGCAATGCATGGCTCCGAGCAAGGAGCAAGGGGAAAACACACAGAGCTCCTGCCCTGTGTCTTCCACCCAGTAACTCAGAAGAAAAGGCAGCATTGTTCCCCAGCAGGGGCCTGCAGGGAGCCAAGCTTATCAGCTTTAGTTACCAGCAAATTGCTTCTGGCAAGCCCATTTCCATGCACAAAGAAAGGGAAGATGAAGAAGGAGGGCTTCCTAAATTCCTGCCTTGGCAGCCTGACAAGTCGTTTGGCTCCACAGCTCGTTCCTGCATGTTCTGCCTTTTATTTAAAGGAGAGATGGTTTTAGTGGAGACCATGAGGATGTGGTGGCCCTGGATGCAGATGATCACATAGCCTGGTGAGGGGCACACCGCTGCTCCAAGGAGAGGGCGTTGCTGAGGCCACCATTGTCCTGGTGGTGAATCATAGAATAGCTTGGGTTGGAAAGGACCTTAAGATCATCCAGTTCCATCCCAATGCCATGATGTGTTCTGCATGAATGAGACTGTCCTTAACATGTTCATGTCTGTACTTCCTGAGGGTATTCGTGGCTTCTTGTTCTTGTACCAGGACTATCTTTTAGCTAAAATAGTCCTTTCTCCTTCTTGCCATTTCTCAGGGGTTTGTATAGGGAGCAATCCCTTTCCTTACTATGCTTAGGAGTAACCAAAATCCAACATAACCCTTCTTTTCCTCATCGTAAACCAAGCTCATGCTGGTGGCAGCTCTTTCTTCACCTGCTCCAGCTTAACTCTTCTTTCTAAGACCAGAATCTCACATTCCACCGTGCAGTCAGGTAATAGATCTTGTGACCATTGGCATTTACAGAGACTTGGGTTTGATGCTCCAGATGTTTTCCCTTGCTGGGAGTACGAATAGCAGAGACTTCCAGTCCATTCACAGCCATCTCCCAGCTGGGCTTTGTGAGCATTGGGTTTACCTGGACCTGACATACCTTGTTAGTGGATAACATGCATTCAGCTTTGCTAAGTGATTCGTTGTGCTGTATGTTTTGTCAGCAAAGAAGGGGAGGGGAAGGAAACCAACGCTCCTGTAGGTCTTCCCAGGGCTGATCTGTAATCACGCTATCCTAAAAAGCAAAGTGTAAGCCCACTGTTTGGGTTCTCTTTCTCATAAACACTGAATAATTTAAGTCTTCTCCCATTTATGCCTTGTATCTGCCTGATCTATGAGTCTGAGGCATCCCTGGATAGCTGTAATGCAGCAATGAAAAGTCCTGCAGAAGCCAACCAAAGGGCACATTTGCATATAGATTGAAACAGGAATCGTTGGGAGCCATTCGTTAGTTGCAGTGCTCGAGACATTTGGCTTTTTAACAGCTCTTTGCATCAAATCCTTTCCATCAAATTTATGGGACAATTAAAGTGCTGGGGTAGCTGTGTGCAGAAAATGAAGCTGCAGGCAAGGGAGATGTTCTTGCAGTGCTGTGCCGGTGGAATATAAATTGCATGATGTCAACTAAAGGTAGAGCAAGCAATCTCGTACTGTGGAGATACCCTGCCCCAACAGAGCCTGTCTGAAACACACTAATTCCTGCTTTTTGATGCCTTAGGGTCTGAAGGGGGATACAAGGATGCTGAGGAGGGACTCTTCATTAGGGACTGAAGTGATAGGACAAGGGGTGATGGGTTCAGACTGAAACAGGGGAAGTTTAGATTGGATATAAGGAGGAAGTTCTTTACTGTGAGGGTGCTGAGGCACTGGAATGGGTTGCCCAGGGAAGCTGTGAATGCTCCATCCCTGGCAGTGTTCAAGGCCAGGTTGGGCAGGGCTTGGGTGCCACGGTTTAGTGTGAGGTGTCCCTGCCCATGGCAGGGGGTTGGAACATGGTCTTAAGGCCCTTTCCAACTCAAACCATTCTATGATTCTATGATCCATCTTCCCCAAAGTATTTACCCTGAAACCTTAATGTGCTTGATCTCAACATACAGGAAGAGGAATGAGGGTTGTTATATGAATGGATGAGTTTACTTTTGTTTTATTAAGAGGCAGTAGCAAAACACCCACCTGTTGGAGCAAGTCCAGAGGAGGCCATGAGGATGATCAGGGGCTGAAGCAGCTCCCATACAAAGACAGGCTGAGAACATTGGGGCTGTTCAGCCTGGAGAAGGGAAGCTGCGTGGAGACCTCAGAGCAGCTTCCAGTGTCTGAAGGGGGCCTATAGGGATGCTGGGGAGGGACTCTTCATTAGGGACTGCAGTGATAGGACAAAGGGTGATGGGTTCAAACTGAAACAGGGGAAGTTTAGATTGGATATAAGGAAGAAGCTCTTTACTGTGAGGGTGGTGAGGCACTGGAATGGGTTGCCCAGGGAGGTTGTGAATGCTCCATCCTTGGCGGTGTTCAAGGCCAGGTTGGATGAAGCCTTGGGTGATATGGTTTAGTGTGAGGTGTCCCTGCCCATGGCAGGGGGCAGGAGCTGGATGATCTTAAGGTGCTTTCCAACCCAAACCCAAATTCTATATGTTTTTCCTGATGCATTTTAGGTTTTAGTGAAATGACAATCTCGAAGGAAGATTTCCGGTAAGAATTTTGGAGCAGTAAATCTATTTCTGGTTGTTTTATAAATGTAACAAAAACCCGAAGGAGGATTTGGATGTTTGCTGCAATACACATAAGGAGACTGTTCTGAAATGAAAATCTGT